CCATCGTGACCTATTACATTTGATAACAAAATAACATCGCTCGCGAAGGAAATTTCTCAAACAAACGCGTTGTCATGTGCAACACCCTCTCCACCAGCAAGAAATGAAATGAATGGTAGAAGTTGCGTAATGTAAATGGAATGTAATCGTGAATGGAAGCTCGCGCCGCTTCCTGACGAGCATATTACCGAAGTAGCGTTTGAAATTAGGCGTGAACCTTAAAATAGATGCCGCCATGTGTAAACAACGCAAGCGATTCCTCTAGTCCAAGAAGTACAATATGTCTCTACGCAAATTTCTTGAGTTCCGATCCGATATTTCTACCCTTTCTGTTTTACTATATTTGTTGGTTGAATTATAAATAAATGGTGAATGATCAAAGAATTCATAATAAAATTCAAAATTAATTCTCTCAGTGAGAGTTTCACCTCCTATTGTATATTCCTCCATGTTATTATCATTAGACTGACGTTACGGTCGCGATCATGTGACATCTAGCGGCACGGCCGACGACGCGAAATGTGAAATATTCAATCGTGAGGAGAGGACCTCACGCGCCAAGAAATAAAAACCCAAGTACTAGCTTACCCTGCCGCATGGCGGCTAGCGACGTCTGGCCGGGCATGTGAAATAGATGAAAAAATGCATCCATAATTCGAACCCACGGTGTAGAGAATTTTATTTCCTACTCCGTAATCTGACCATACACCGAATATCTATAACACCGTGGTCTGGCCATTATTTCGTAATTATACTCGACTCTGGCAGAGTGGCTCACGCAACTTTTTTTGACCAATGACCTTGCTTTCCCCTCTCCAGCTCAATAGTTGGAAGGCAAAAGCTCGCAGCGAGCTCTGGTGACAGAATTCCAAACTCATCTTCACTGGATCGAAATAAAAACTTTCCTGTTGAAGACGAGAACTTCTGTCCATGATTTACTCCAACAAATCTAAATAAAATACCGAAGCAGGTGAATATCTATCCCAGGAGATACCTCGAACGTGTGAGTAAGTTATAATTCAAATTATTGACAAATTTGCGAGGGCATGATTGATTTTCCAGACATTGGCATTGCTTTATTAATTTCGAGTGGCCGATTTCTTAACCAATACCCCCATGCTATCCGCATTTCTTCAATCTATTGGTAAAGAAAATTTAGGCGAGTATAAGGTTCACAACGTTTTGGAATGTATTTCCAGAAGTGTGCAGCGAGAAATGAGAATAGTGGCCGATTTCGCTGCGTCCAATAACGAGAACCTAAACCATCTAGATATCTAGGTATTGCTGGAACTGTTATTCGATGACTCGAAATGCTTTTATATGATTCTAGGCCAATGACCCCATCTCGATCAGGTTTTGTTCAGTTTCCTTGGTCCCTTGAGCAAATGCTGAGATGGCCTCTTGTTTACTCCTGAACAGTAATGTAATTTCGCTATCTCCACCCAAGACATCATATTGACCTAACCTCGATTCACATGGGCCGTGGTATCTGCTTCGCGGGACCGTCGTTGAGACATTTCTTCACGCAGAAGATTGGCTGAGAGCAAGAGCTTTCCTCTTCAGAGGGTCGCTATGGTATTTTAGCTCTTTCTGCTTTTAGTAGTGTCTTTCAGTTTTAGTACGTGAGCCACGATGTCTCGCACTGTTTTCCAGTTGTCTCTGGATTGCAGCATAGTCTGGGACATGTTAGTAGGCGTTAATTCCCGTCGCAATTTGCTGTAGCAATTTTTTCTTCCTACCAAGCTTTGCAACTATATATGATGTGTATAGTGTCGTCGTCTTCTTCATGGCATAGTGCTCATATCGGGCTTTCAGCGATTTTAAATCTGTATAGATATGCTTGAAAGTTCCCGTGCCTTGAGAAGGTTTGCGTCAAGTAGAAGTTCATTGTGCCATGGTTCCTGCTGGTCCAATCCTTGATGTTAGCGACGAGGCTGTGTGTCCATCTACCTTTGTACTCCGGGTCCCATCGGTTTTGCCACTGGTGCAGGAGATGGTTTCTTAATTCCGCTTTGATATCGTCTAATTGTCTTTTGGACACGGTTTGTTGTATATCTGCTGTCGTCCTCAGGTACATTGTCCTCCTTTCCTGGGCTAAAAGGTCCACTTGGGGGACACTGGCCAATACTAAGGCTGCACTGTCGGATATCGTGCGATATCCTGAGGTTATCCTTAATGTCATCCTTCTCTGAATCTGTGTGAATTTCCGTCGAATGGACTCTTTAGCTAGCGCATCTGCCCACACTAGGGCGGCATACAGCATTTTTGAGTGCACTACGGCAGAAATTAATCTTCTTTTGCTTTCACTGGGGCCTCCTGAGTTCAGCACTAGTGTGGAGAGATTTGATCCAGTCTTTGCAGCTTTTCCTGCTGATTTAATAATATGATGTCCGAAGCTCAATCGTAATCAATTTCCACCCCCCAGGTATGTAATATGCCGTTTCCATTCAATGAGTTCCTCCCCCAGTCGGATCACCGGGGGGCGGAATGCTCTGCGGTTTGTAATCAACGCGGCCTCCGTCTTGCCAACAGCCATCTGGAGGTTTCTTTGGTCCAACCATCTGTTAACCCTGCGTAGTGTTTCGTTGGTCTTCATTTCCAGTAGTTCCGTGTTTTCACTATTTCACTTTATAATCAGTGTCTCATCGGCGTACCCTAGGAGTCTGAAGTTCTCTGGGAGTACGATATTCAGCAGGTCGTCATACAGGGTATTCTACACGAAGGGGCCCCATTTTGATCCCCGTGGAACACCGCAGGTCATGTCTTCCTCAATCCTATACCCGTTAGTGTAGATTATTTTCGTCTCACTGCGCTAGTCCTCCAGGATCCTCACAAGGTATTCAGGGATCTTCCTACATTACAGGGTTTGTATGATGTCTTTCCAGCTGGCAGAATTAAAGGCATTTTTGATGTCATTCGCAACCAAGGCACAAAAACTCTTATTCCTTTTTTCTGTTTCTGCATGGTGGACTGCTTCTGAGATTGCGTCTATTGTCGAGAGTCCCTTTCTAAATCCAAACTGTCTCTTTGAAAATTGGACATGTTTCTTTAGAGGTAGAAGGAGCAAACCCTCCAGTAATTTGCTCATCGTATTCAGCAGGCACAAAGGTCTGAACGAAGACGTCCGATCGATTGGCTTGTTACCTTTCCGCATGAGAATAAGCTACCGATGTTTTCAACCCTTATAGAATTTACCTTGTTCAAGACACTGGTTAAAGGCTTTCAAAAGGCATTCTGGGTATTCTTTTACAACTATCCCCAGGATCGAGTTTGGAATTCCGTCGGGTCCCGGGGCAGTTCGAATCTTGGTCTTCTTTACCGTCTGGACTAGTTCGTCCTTCGTGAAACGGTTGGCTTCGTCGAAGAGGTAGTCAGAAGGTCTGCTCCTTACTCAGCATTCTCTGCTAGGGAAAAGGTCTTTGATAATTGCCTTCATCCATTCGGGGTCTTCTAACCTCGAGGTTGTTGAAGGTTTAAATTTGCCCATAATTATCTTGTAGGCTTTTCCCAGGGGTCGTTGTTCACATCGTTCAATAGGGCCTTCCAGCATTTTGTTTTGCTTCTTTTAATCTCCGATTTTAATCTTTTGCGGGCCGTCTTGTAATTTTCTCTCAGCAGAATGTCCGTTTTAGCTCATGTTGCAAGTCTTCTTGCTTTAACACATGCTTGACGAAGCTCTGTAATAGCCGCTGTACGCCTGATTTTTCCCCTTTGGGCTCCTACGTCTGGGCATTGAAATGTCACACGTATTTTTAACGGTTTCGCACGTTTCCCGTACTACATCTTCGAGGGACTCTGCACTTTCCCCATTACTCCACCCCATGGACTTCAGTAATTTAGCTTCATCAAGGAATTTTATGGCATCAGCTTCTTTTAGCTTTTTGGTGTTCCATGATGGACCGATGTTTGGCTGATTCCTTCTTCTCTGTTTCCGGCGGATGAAGTGGAGATATATTATTATTATTATTATTATTATTATTATTATTATTATTATTATTATTATTATTATTATTATGCCATAAGTCGAGTGGTGACAGCAGTTAGCTAAGAGATAACCGCAAGCCCCATTTCTTGATTTATTAAATACTGTTGTCTATTTTTTACCCGTGAAATCCTTGTTTTATTACCGTAATTGTAATATATTTGAGTTCGAATTAGATAAATGCATTACTGCACTGCACATTAATCATTATTCAATGTAAAAAGGAACTGAATGTGACGTATAGGGAAGAAATACAATCTATGCAATATGTCTCTATGCAAATGTTCTTGCGTCCCGATGCGATATTTCTACCCTGTCTGTTTTACTATATTTGTTGGTTGAATTATGAGTAAATGGTGAATGATCAAAGAATTCATAATAAAATTCACAATTAACAAATTAATTTATAAATAAATGTGTATTAAGAAAAACCTTCAAGTGTTTCCTAGTTCATTTCCGTTTAAAGAAAAAAATCTAGTAAGAATTTCAAAAAGCTGGTTGTTTATCACATGTTTTACTGGTAAATATTATAACATCACTCGTTTCTATGTAAGGTTTAGTGTTTTCCTGCAGCAGCGAATGCCTAAATGTCATGTAACAAATGGAGGAGTATAAAATAGAAATGTGTCCGAGAAAACGTCCTCGCTCAACCGAGGAACTCTTTCGCCTTTGCAGAGGCGAATGAGAAAACTCTTTCAAGTGTGTGGGGGTCGATTTTCCACATTTCTCGTCGCACATTTCAGGAAAAAATTCCTCGATGTCCCACCCATCCAAGTCCGTTGCAGGCCTAATATAAAAAGCCCTAAAGTCTCTATCACACTGTATTATAATTGTCTGTTAATAGACTGTGTCTCTACGGTATTTGCGTATACTCTTTGGCTCTGGCTATTTCCTGGCAGTATAGAAAACTAAATGTACATTCCATGGATAAATACAGTAAAAATATCTTTGTAAACTCTATGGCAGTGTGCGAACTTCACTCCCGTGGTTTGCGTAATCGGAAAGCAGGGCGGGTGTAATGGGCAGGTAATGGGCGTTTACTGGTGGAAATGGCTGAATGTGTTGTTGTGAAGTTTTCTTCTGAAACGTTGGGTGCGCAAATAGAAGATGTCAGCAACAATGCCCAGGAAGAAAATGAAAATACATCAAACATACCTGTGTTCGGTTTTTACCACATAATTTGTCTTACACTGTCAATAGCAACTTATGTTGTAGACATTGGTTTTGATAGTTGGTTGGCTTACTTATATTACCTTAAAGGTGAAGGAATTCCATTTGCTTTGACAGTCACTTTTATAGTATTTCCAGCAATAATTACAACAGCATTTAGTATGCGATGGCAAGTATGACTTGTTTTTGTTTATAAGCCTACTGTCAACTAATATGGGTTTAGAGTGGAGTGGTGATATTTAGTTTTTTTCATTTACGCGATTAATCTTAATTGATCAATGTACAATTTATCCCTAGGTATATCATTGATGGAGATGAGCCGTCTTTACCCAAACCAGCCCTATGGAAATGGGTGCTGAGAATTATCATTTTACTATTGCAGCTGGCACCCATTTTACGGTATGTTATTTACTTGTTATTTTTTGCTATTATGAAGTCAGTGAGACACTGTGATGGAATCACTGTTACAGTAAGTAAATTTAAGTGAAAGTAATCTCAAGGTCAAAATCTGAATGTGTTGGGTAACATATTCACAAATATTTTCAAGTCTGAAGGAATTCTTTATTGTATTGGGCAAGTGAAACATAAGTTTTTGAATTAATTATGTTGGGATAACGTGAGACATCATATATTTGTAATCCAAGATACTTTATAGCCATCTGAATTGTTAATAAGCTAACTGCATTGATTCTGAGCCAGCTTTATTTATCGTTACTATTTATTTGATTACGAGTTACATTAAGAACCTGATGTGTACAAAAATCTTTCCCACAAGTTATTGCATTCAAACATGTCCTTAAGATTGTACCAAAATTTTGCTGTTCAAATTTCTTTCTTTTAAGTCTTCTCTGGAAATGCCTCAGATGTATTACTTAAAGAGAAACTTTGAATGATTTAAAATGAAGGATTAAATTGCATGGCATTAAAACTGCAGCTTAATTCTCTCTATTGCATTAGTGATAAGTTTTATTATCAATTTCATGTTCTCTGTAGTCATTTAAACACTTTCTTCAGCTGTGTGTATAAATGTTACATTTTAAAACAAATATTTAGTGAACCAAATACCTCATTAAATTTCATGTGATGACATTCAGTATTCATTGTTCTTTTCATTATGTATCAGAAATTTCAATTTAAAAGTCTATATTAAAATATATTAATGAATTCATGTCCTGTGAAGGAAACAGCTTCAAGTACATAGGCAATAATTATGTAATTGTAACTTTTTTGTGTTATTGCGAGAAACATCCATCTGATTAAGTTCTTAGGATATTTGTCCTCCTTTTTTAATTTTATTTTGAAGATATCAAAATCGAAAAAATACTTCAGAGTTGACTTCAAAAACATAAATAAATCTCTAAACGCAAAATTAATGTGGAAGATTGGTGGTCCAGTTGTTGGCATCTACATAAATCACTTCTCTAATGTTTACAATTATTTTTGAATAAAATTGAGTTGCAACAAAATGTGTTATTTTCTACCATCAAAGTTTCACATTATATAAAAAATTGAAGGAATTGCCAAATTCGATACACACATGGCCAACTGTATTTTCTCATTTTTCAGATACTTCTAGAGGCACAGGAATTTTGCATATTATTGTATGGCACACTTTGCCTTTAATTCTTGAATAGGAGTGTTGACCAAAAATGTCAGTGTATTATAGTATGAGACATGTACTTTTAAAAAAGCATGAATCTTTTAATGTTCTAACACTTTAGGTCTAATAAGATAAATATTTTGATTTTTTTGTAGTGTAATGGTTATTTGGTATAAAGGAATAAAAGCAAATCTTAAAAGGAGCTTTGCCTAAATGATGATTAATCCTTAGTGGATCTGTTCCTGTGTATGTCCTGGTAAATAGTGTGCTGTCAACTTTGTAAGAGAGACCATGCTTGATCAGTGTCAGCTGCTGATGATTAATTGTGCAGCAAAGTGTGTTTCAACTACCTTTATGCACTTTTGCATATGTTTGTTACTCACGTGCATGAATTTGAGCTATACTGAATCAGCTAGCAAAGTTTTTTTATAACTACTCAAATGGCATGATTAACTAAGGATTAATGATATTACATGTTTGATAGACCCATTAACTTCAATAAATATTTCATTAATGAATTATATTTGTATTGATTCTGTTGATTTTCATCTGTAATGACAAGTTGTTGTTCTACTCTTCAAATTTTAACATACTAATTATTAAATGAAAATTTGACGTATTTTCCTACTACAGCTAGAAATGATTACTTCTTTTAAGGTTTAGGGCTTAATCTAAAATTTGAGTGAGAGAAGAAAACAAGTGATGTAAAGAAGTATGTAGTGTTTGCAAATGTTAAACTTTTCAGTGCTTGAGTTACTGGGAAATTTGTTCATTGCTCCACCTTCATCATGGACTTATTTTCGGCAGCACCCCCTGGTTTGCTGGTGTTGCAGATATTTTGTCTTGCTTGAGCATGAATTCAAACGGTTGTCTTTCTCTGCACATCAGTCAATACTTTCAGGAGTTTTTATATTTTTGGATTTATATTCTCCTATCATCCAGTGACTGACACATGTTTAGGAATTAGATTAATGTCTTACGAACAAGTTCTAATATTCGTTTTGGTGTTATACAAAATCAAACGGCAGAAGCTACTTGTATAGGAACAAAAGAAGGTCATATATTCTCAGAATATGCCAATACAATACTCTTAAAAGTCTTTAATATGATACAAATTGAATCCAGTTATAATGTGTGCAGAACTTGGGTCATAAAGTTAACAACTAAATATCTTGTTTACCTGAATTATTGCAACACCAATATTAAACATTTAAGTTGCACACAAGAAGCTTAATAGAATCTCAGTTGTTGATTAAGGACAGTCCATAAATTACTAAACGCAAATTTGGAATATTTTGAATTCACCTCCTCTAACCCCCCCCCCCCTTCCGTAACACATGATTGAACCCCCCTAAATAATTACGTAATGCCTGCAACATCACCCCCTCCTTGTAAATGCAAGAAGTGAAAATAAATTATAGTTCAGTAAAAACATTATATTTATTTTATTTTTCTTGTGTATTAAAATTTGTGATAATTAAAGTTAGAATTAGTTGGCGATGCTGACTTCTCCTATCAATAAGATTTGGGACAAATTTTGGACAAAGGCAGTCCGCGCAGGCAAGAAAATTTCTGATCACAAGCTGTGCACACACCGCAGTTATAGATGGCGCATGGGTGAGAGTCTAATGCACCAATTTAATTGTAATCTTAAAAATACTACAGATCAATTTTGAATATTTTCTTCCTAATCTTACTGATTTAATACAAAATTGATAAAAAACTATATCCATTTATTGTAACAACTTCTAATAACTTAAAATAATTAATGTTTTAGTATAAGACTCAAAACAGGAAGTACTTCAACAAATGTTAAAAGATCTAAAACACACATCAATGTTACGTAACACTAACGGAATTTCCCTCCTGTCCCCATATAACGCAGAATTACGCTGCCTCAAACCCCCTCTCCTTCTCCATTATGTAATTTATAGACTATCCCTTATTAAATATGGTCCAAATTTTTCTTTGATTAATTATTTACTTAATGCCTACTTAGAAATTTACTTCCATTAACTTAATTTCATAAATGAATGTAAATTAAATTGTGTAAAGAATGTGTGAAAAAATCGTCAACATTTATTTATCCCCTTTGTGTTCTTCCAAATGCTATTTCATCTATTTATAACAAATGAACTAGCATGGTGTGAGGTGATTATGTGTAATTATTTTGTCTAAGAATTTTTGTGTGTTCATTGAACAGAAACATTTCTCAATTAAAAAACGAGGTTTTGTAATTTTTCTATATTTGTCAATCTTTTTTTTTCAGTTACAAATGAGAATGAGTCTTTCAGTCTTGTTATGTTTTCTGGGATTATGGGGAAAAAATCTTCATGATAATTAATGTGAATTATGTATGTTCTAATGTGGACAGTACTAATATTGGCAAATGACATAGTTAATTAATTTAGTAAAGAACATATTATTATGTATATTCTTATACTAATCCTAATATTTGTAATTTAATTTACTATTGTTTGTGAGTTTGAATAATTAATCTAGACACGTAAAATTTGAAACAATTTTGTTCCTAGTGTGATGTGCCACCCCACAACGTTTCAGCATATTCCCAGGGAGGCACATTGGTGATGGAGAACTATGTGTAGCTTGGGGTTATTTTAATGAAGAGGGAGTAAGGGGTCGTGGTCAGCACACCATACATACGTGCGCACCGCATGCATGCCGACATATCGCACACACACGCCTCACATACTGCAGATACCGCCACACACACACACATATACTGCAGATACCGCCACACACACACACACGTGCACACACACAAAATGGTTCTGGAAGGTTCTATTTGCCAGAGAAGCTTCCAGAGTGGTGTCAACATGTGTTCCAGTGTTGTGAAAGTATGAAGTTGCTATTAGTATTGTGGTGAGTTTTCATTGCCATTTACAATGAAATAATTATGAGTCATCATTGCCAATAATATTGTTTATTATAATAGTCATCTGATCAACTATTCATTTTGAGGTTTCCATAGAGCAGATAACCGATGATGATGGTTAAGCCATCAAAAGCTGCTCTTGTAATAAACAATGTTGTTGGCACTGGCGACTCATATAATTATTTCTTGAAGTTGTTAGTTTGTAGGGACTCAGAGCCTCATGATTGTAGAATATTCAGTTTATGAATATTGTATTTTGCAGTTCTGTGGTTTGTTGATGTTTATAAGAGATTCAAATTGGGGGGCCTTACTTTTAACCTTATGGCAGGCATGTTCATTTTTGACTCAAGGAAGTATGTTCATTGCACGGCACATGCAAAAAATCCTAGAACAGGCATCTTAACAAGAATCAGAATGATTTAGATGTAAATAATGTACTTTCTACTTTTTCTCAGTATTCGCTTTAACCTTTTTTGTTTTGTCTGTGTGAACACAATGTAATCTTAAGGAACTTCTTTGTCGTTTTCAGAACCATTTTAATTGTCTCATTGTGGTGATCACTTTCTTCAGTATTTTCTTCCCCTTCAACATCATTTTCCTCACATTCTAATAAAACACGTAGAGCTGGATTTCTCTAGTAAATCATAAATTTTGCTTGGTTCTAAATTGAATTTTATAAATGTTTATCTGCAAAGTTTTAATCATAAGAGTTGTTAATTCTAAACATAAGAATAAAATTGTATTATTTCACAACTTCTGATGTTGATACGAGCAATTTGAAATAGTCATGGTAATTTTTAACTGCTTAATTGTAATTTTTTAAATGGATAGTAATACATACTCTAGCAGTAGAGTCCTTTTTATGACACCCAACTCATAAATACCAACTCATTTTCACAACTGAAGAAAGCACCACAGATTCATAATAGCAAAATAGAATGATGAAGAAATTGGCAACAATGGTGTGGTAAGAGTCATGTTACAGAAATAATTGCTTGAGAACTAAACAGATTCCTTTGAAATGTGTTCTTGTAAAATCAGCCTGCCCACTGAAGAGTTGAACTGTCTTTGGTAACTGTTAATTCAGTTACCATCTTCACTTGCGAAAGCCCACATATCTATATCCTCAAACCAATTTGGCAACTTTTGCCATGCCTTTTTTGTATTATTTTATCCGCTTATACATAAGCATTTATTTGCTTTTATGCAGTAGAAAGTCTTATTATTATTATTATTATTATTATTATTATTATTATTATTATTATTATTATTATTATTATTATATTATTATTATTATTATTATTATTTGTTTCCACATGTTTTCATGCTTTCTCCATTTTTGTTTTGCCAGATATTGTGATGCATTGGCTTATGGCTGCCGTAGTATTGCTGCAAGCAGAGCAGGCAATAAATCCAGGCAGTTGAACATGTACAGGAAAATGTTAGATGAAGATTCTGATGCTTCATTGTTGAGGCTTTTTCACTGTTTCCTTCATGCATCCCCACAAGCTATTTTACAACTTATATTTCTTTTCCATTATCACCAGAAAAGTTACAGTTCTATTCAAGGTAAATTTTCAAACAGTTTGAATTGTATCATAGTGCTTTCTGAGTTCACATTTAACATTTTATACGTTTTTGTTTTTGTTTGTTTTTCAGTTTTGCAAGGGTGGGCTGTTGTATGTTCTCTAATCTCAGTTGCGTGGTCTCTGACCTCATACCATAGATCTGTGAGATTTGCTCGAGATGACAAAGAAAAATTATCATGGCAAGGTGCAGTGATGCAATTCTGTTGGCACTTAATGAGTACAGGTATGTTATGACTCTAATAGTGAAATTGAGAGTGAGTGACCCTACAATTTTTTAGGTAAATGGTTTAACTGCTTCGTAAGCGCTAGTTCACAAAAATGTGTGAGAAGAACTATAAAGATCATTGAAGTTTGCTCAAAATCAGCATAGGCTGATTCCACTTGTGGCACTATGTACATAAATTTTCTTTTCTAGCGAGTTGTGCATAAATATTAGGAGAGATGAAGTTTTTAAAAATGTATGTGTGGTGCAAATGGATCTTGTTTTAAACAGGATTCATTTTTTACAGGAATGTATAAACATTTCAGTTTTTTTATAGTAACTTCCCTTATATTTTTCATTTATTCAGGAAAAGTTGGTAAATTTGGTTCTACAAAATGATCTTGGGTATTAAGAAATTTTCTTTTTGAATTGTATTGCTGTCAAACTACTTTGATGTAGTTCTAGGATTGTGAACCTCATCAAACTAATCATAATATTAATATTACAAATGATGATTAACTTTTCAAAGAATTTGTAGATCCAGCAGGGAATCAAACCTGAATCTCCTAGTATATACCCAATTGCTCTAACAAATTGAACTATGAAAGGAGTCAGTCAACTCTTCAAACATCAATTAGGAGAGGAAGAGTCCCTGTGATGATTACATTTTGCATTCCTAAGGAATGATGGAAGAGTTGATTGACTTGGTTGCTCAAGCGGTTAGAACAATGGAGCAGTTTGATTTGCAGCTAGGGCACTAAATTCTATGACTAGTCAAAAATCATTTGTAACATAACTTCTGCCATGTAGTTGTGCGGATGTTTGCAATTGCGATGGGAAGTATATTCTCATGTAATTTTTAAAATAAAAATTGTGACCAACCGGTGAAACATTAATAATAATAATAATAATAATAATAATAATAATAAAACTCAATTGCAACAATAGAACATTGTTTCTTGTATTTGTAATGGATGTAACATTGCCCTATTGAAAATAGTATCTTTCTAATTTAACCTTCTCATGAAATCTTTCAAAAAAATGTGCAGGATATTTTAATTTGCCCCTTTTATTTTTGTTTTTATTTTTTCCCCCACAGCTTTTAAAGAAAATTTGTCTTAATTGTAAGTGAATTTTGCTCTATTTGAAGCAAAAATTTAAAGAAATTTTCCCCATGGAAATTGAACCCCAGCCTTCATAATAGTAAGCCAAAGTGAAAACCAATAACCACTGTGCTGCTTGATTTATGTTGGCTAATATTTAGTTAAAAGTTATTGTTGTATGTAATGAAATTTTCACAATTCAACTAAAATTTACTAATTTTTTGAAACAATGTGCACATAGTGATTTAAAAACTAGTGTTGAAGAAATAGATTAAGAGATTAAGAAAGAAATGTCTAGCTTCATTATGGAAGGTCCAGGGCAACTCAAAAAACAACAACAACAACAACAACAACAAACGTTTGCAATTTTCAAAACTTCAGTTTTTAATGAAAATTGGCCCTGCACCATTTTTAGTACCATATTTGCTGCAATTTAGTTAAAAATTTAAAGAAAAAATTAATTTGTGAAAGTTTTGAAAATATCCTAGGAACTTCGTAAAGTATCCCCTAAAGTAAAGTATCCATTTTACATTTTAGAGGCTGTGACATCATTCAGAGAATATCTTATTTCGATGAAAATTTTGTGTATGGTTTAGAGGCTAGTATTGTTGACGGACAGAATTAATTTTGAGAAATAAAGTTTTTAGTATCAAGGACTCTGAAAATTTGTTTTTCACTATTCTGGTTATAAGAGAAAGAAAATTCTGCATTTTCGGCTCTCTCAAAATGTGTTTTCTGTTGAAATACCACAATTTTTCCCTGAATCATTCCTTAACTTTCACTTACTATTCTTGTGGCAAGCCGTTTGGGGTTGCTCCCGCCAACAGGGGTTTGCAGTATGCGTTGCCTCGTTCGCTGCAACTTACCTGTCTCTTCATAGCTTTCCTGTTTTTTTGAATATAGCTCTAAGGGGTTGTCCATAAATTACATAATGCAAAGTTGGAGTATTTTGAATACCCCCTCCCCCTTGTAACACACTCATAACATCATGCACTTTCACACCCCTCTAATAATTACAAAATGCTTGCGACAAGAACCCCGCAATTACAATATAGACCAGACTGACGGACGGAGGGACAGACGAACGTTTTTTGGTATCAGGAGACCCCAAAAATGGGTGTTTCTGTTGAAAACTCAAAATCGATTTTCTGCAGCATTACATAACTGTCCCTATACTATGTATATTAGTCTATATATGTGTAAGTATACCGGAAAGTAATAATGTATGAAAGCAATGGGTATGTAGTTGCCAGTCCCTTGTACTCAACATATAAAATATTGACTTATGAGGCATTTTGGGGACAAATATATGGGTGAAACTGTTTGTTTTATTAGAATTTTTTTAAATGTATAAAATACTTCAGAAAAATTCAATAAGCAAGGAGAAATTTGTTCCAGAAAATAAGTGACTACCCTCGGAAATGGATCTTACAAGTTGATTGTAAATTGACATATGTTTGATTTCAAGCAGTTTGTTGAAGAGAATTTTGAAAGATATTGATGAAATATTAGTAGTATAAGTGTTGGAATGTAATTATTATAATTTTATGCAATTTGGAAATAATACTAAAAGGACCGCGTTATGTGGTTATACTTCGAGTATAGAGAATGCATTGTAATGCTGCAGCAAAATGGCAATTTTACAAAAAAATAGTGGATAATTCTTTAGTTTTTTTTATAATAGTTTTTTTAATAATAGTTTTTAATAATAGGTTTTTTTGTTGTTTTTTTTTTAAGTCCTTGATGCTGAGAAATTGGTTTTGGGCAAAACGTCTGACCATCTGTGTACAAAGCTAATGACTAAACAGCCAGGATTTTTACCAAAATTGATATTCCCTGCTTGACTGATGTAGCAGCCACTGCTTGAATTTGAAAAGGATATTTTTATTGGGAGTTTGATTTGTGATATTGGGAGGGTTTGATTTGTCCAGAACATTCGCAAAAGTGTTTTTTGTTCAAAAGTACTTGGAAGGAGTAGGTACACAAAGGAGTTTCTTGTACAAAAACTGCATTGGTCTGATTTTGAGTTGAATTTAGTTTTTGCTTTCTTTTCTAGTTGCTCGGGTGCTAGCTTTGAGCCTTTTGGCATCTTTGTACCCAGCATGGATGGGTGCTCTATGTCTGACTCATTGGGCTGTCATGTCTGCTTGGCTGGCATTGGGTCATCAACAAACAGCTATATGCACCAATCGTTGTGAAGAGTTACTGTTTAGTATGGTTCTAGGATTGGCCTATGTTTTAGCCTTTATAGCTCCAAGAGATGGACCTACAAGATATTCATATTTGGCATATTATCTTATATTCTTTATGGAAAACACAGGTGCTCTTGTTGTATGGTGAGTAATTTTTTTTTGAACTTTCCTTTTTAATCTTTCTCCTTTTCCTTTAATTTTTAAGTTTGAAGAATAATATGTTCTCTTCAATAACAATCTAATAATAAAAATTATGATTATGTGATTTCCAGGTGTGTGGCCAGTAGTTCAGTTCAGAATCCTGTACTGTACTATGGAGCTGTTGTCGCTCAAACTGTCTCGTTTCTTCTGGCTCTTGGCTTTATGCTTGCTTATTACCGTCATTTCCATCCTAGTGGAACCTCTCCTACATTTAATCAAAACATGGATAATGACCAGGAAATTGGAAAGCAATTTGTTGCTGTTATGTAAAAGGAATCTCAATTTCACATATTTGATGTTGGATTTGTATGATGTTTTGTCCAAGAATTGTATTCAGATGTTTTTAGCTCTTGATAAGGCAGGACGTTGTGAATGGTAGGCAGTGCAAAATTAAATCTGTCCTGTCCAATTTTAGTTTTTATTACCAATATCATCAAGATATACTTTATTTAGAAATATTTTCAACCAAGAATCTTTATTGGGACCAATTTTATGTTGGATTACCTTTGCATGTGCACAATTTTTCTGATAGAAAATGCCGTCCTTATGAGGTGTGATGCAGATGGTATGCTCCTTTTGTACATACATTTGAGGTGGCTTTCATAACTAATTGTAAAGTATATGATTTGGCATTGTGTAAATATTGTGATTATTCAAATAATAATTTTACTGTTATATATGTCCAAATGTGATGTCTTGTGACACTTGTATGGTGCATTTGTAATTATGTTGTTTTTTGTTGGTTCAGCAGTACAGAAGTGTACACCTGTGTATGTAAATATTCCATTATTATGCAGGCCTCAAGTGATAAACATAGAGAAAATTATCGTATTTACTTGATTGTAAGCTGACACCGATTGTAAGCCGAACTCGAGAAAGAAAGAAAGAAAGAAAGAAAAAAAAAAAGAAGAAGAAAAAAACATAAACTAATTATTGAATTTATTTATTTAAACGTAAGAAATACATTTGATGCTTAACACTCTGAGACCACTAATTTCTTTACATTTTAGAGATCATTGACTCAGATTCCTCACTTGACTCTTTGTCACTTTTGTCCATGAAAAGGAAGTCACCTTTGCTGTTGTCAAGGGCATTTGAGATTCAACACTTTTTAAAAGCCCTTGCAACAACTTCTCCAGGCATCATCTATCCAAGCGCTCACGTGCGATAGACTAGCTCATTTCACGTGCCTTGTGAGCATGAGCGTTCTGTCTTCTTTGGAGAGCCAGTCCGAGTACATTTTCTTAAACCTGTCCTTGAATGGTTCGTTAATGCACACATCCAGGGGTTGAAGTTTTGACGTTAGTCCCCCTGGATTAATTGCCCAGTTGGTTCCCTCATTTTTCAACTCCTTTACGGCCTGTGCACTGGTGACTGCACGAGTCGAAAACCAGGATGCTACGTAACCTCAATAAAGTGCGAGGGCGACAATGCCACACCAACTGAACCAATTGTAACATCATGTCTTCAGTAAATCACCCTTTTCGTTTGCGCGCACAATGACTCAGATTTTGGGAGTGTCTTGCATTTGAACACAACAAACTGAGGTAGTTTATGTACGTTCTACCGTGTCGGCTGGGTAGCTGACAAATAATAAGATCTTTACAGGTGTCTGATGTCAACTGTGTTATAGCAACACGATGACACCGATTCTAAGCCGAGGGTCAATTTTTGAACTTCAAAAAAGGGGAGAAAAATATGGCTTACAGTCGGGTAAATATGGTATGTAAAACATTAAAATTATTACTTAGTAGAGTTATGAAACTGCAATATTTTTAGAAAAAGACATTGGAAATAGTGGATGTTATTTGATGTTAACCTAACGTGGAGAACGATATTTATAAATAATATTGAAGGTATGCAGTGCAAGAACAGTATACCCCTATTTCATGTGATTTATTGTGTACGAATTCAGCTTCCATTGTGTAACAATACGTTACTTTTTAATTGCCCAAATTTTATTTATGTGTACTTACATTTTAACAGTGTGTCAGGTGTTTCTGATTTTACACATTTTATAGGCTACAGAAGATACACCTTTCAAGTGTTACAGCCCTGGGTGTTTGTGCACTGTACAATTTTTTTAAAACAAACTTCCAAAAATAACTTGAAACAAAACCATTTTCAGAGCATACAAATTTAATTCAACTCTTACAACAAGTATGAAGTAAATTGTAACAGCTGTAAAACTAAAAGACTTTGGCTTTTGACATTCAAAACATATAAAAAGAAAATCTCTAAGTATAAGTTCAGTATTTAATTTTATTTTCGTATCATTTTTTGTTTTCGTACCGTTTCTGTTAAATTTTATTTTACCCTATCTGTTCTATGTATTTAGCAAGCTAAGAAAAGATGACAGTTTTGTATCGTGTATTAGTCACCAATGTTACGGAACCCATGAATATCCTCTTGTTGGGTAACGAATTATTCCTAGGGTGAAAAGATTTAAGATGAAAACCAGAATTTTATAGATTGCCCTAGAAAGGAATCAACAGGCTCACATGCTCTCTGCAACATGTTATGCATATTGCCAACACAAATTACCTTGTGCATAACTCAAAAATAGTTAGATTTAGTGCCCGTAAAATTTAGTTACAGAGACTAATCAACAAAGTTGCATGTGTTTTGTGATGTTTTGCAAGATATCTTCATTGATCGTTTATGAACTACCTAGCACTTGTCTTTCATTCAAGTCTGGGACACAATGGCAACCTATGCCCTTGCTCATGCCTGAAACCATTGTCACCCACATGAAGATGGTTACATTCTGGCGCGAGTCGCACGAGCATTACGTTAAGTAACACATGCCATAGATTAATACTGTATATCATGCAGAATGGCCAAAGGACGTGTAGGCTGTTTCACGTAAGGTGCAGTGTTAATCTACTTTCGGCAGTGCTGCCTGGTACAGGGGCCCTCTATCAGAAATGCAGAACCCAATTTGTCCAGGGCCTGCAGTCTCCATGAAAACAGAGTTTCATCTTCAGCAGTATATGTAATGTACATATGAATAATTATTTGTTTTCCTGAGCCTATAATTTCTTGAATAAATCTTGGATAACTAGTTTATTGAGTTTTGATGTCATTTACAATTTAACTTCTTCTGTTTTTTTATGACAGTGAATCTTGACATTAATTTTGATGATTCTTAATAGTCCAACAAGTATTTTGAAAGACACATCTGTTTTAAAACTTCCTAGTAATTACTTTCATGATATCAGAGACATTGTGGTGGAAGTGGTTTTTCAACATGTGCAATTGCTTTTGAGTGTTGATCATTCTAATCAGTATTTGACTTGATTTGCACATGAACTACTGTTCTTGTACTGCAAAACAAAACAAAAAACAAAAAAAAAAGCAAAGCTCTTTGCTATGATCTTATGATATTAAATTCCTCATGTATCTCCTAATGAACAAATTATATTTTTGGATTAATGAAGATTGTGCCAAAGTAGTCTAATGAGATATTTCTTCCTTCCTAGGTTGTGTGTATATTATTTCTATAGGAAAGGCTGTATGTTTGCCTTTGACACTACTTCCACTTTTTTTTTTATTTCCATGGTGTTAATGTGTTAAAAAAATGTACTCTTTGAAAGTATTATTTTTATATGTCATGAAAGAAAGATTTCTGTGCATAGATGAGAGGGACCATAGTGATTGTTTAAATTCATAAATTTTCAGTATTAAAATGAATTCTATTTTGGATTCAATTAATATTCACATTATACAGTATTGCTGCAGATGCAACACAGGCTTCTTCTTCCTATATTCTCTACTTGTAACTGTGATATGCAGAATCCATATTTTCATTCTTCAGAATTGATAATACTCCCAAATAAGTATAAATGTATTAATACTAATTTTCCATCATGTTTTTTGAGTTGCTGAAGTATTCTGTCTGCCAATTTAAGTTTTCATCTGGTGTATAGTAACTTGCAGTTTTAATAGGATCATACCATTATTATTTTTTTTCTTTTCTTACATAGAAAGGCTGCAGATAGTGAATGTATAGCAACACATTATTGGCAAATGTTTTGTGTGTGTAACAAGGCATTTTCTATTATAATTATTAATTTTTTAACTTAATAAATTTGTATGTTACACACTTCTTCTGGCAAATCTTGTGTAATTGATATGTGCACTGATATCTTTGTTATGTATCTGTGTTAGTGAAAACTTGTGTCGTGCTGCAATTTATTATTATTTTTAATCAAGAGTTTGTGTAAAAAAAATGAAAAACATAATTTACTTGTGACATGTTTGTATTTGGATTATGATCTCTGGAATTGTAATGAAGAAAAATCATATTATTACAAAAATTTTACTTTTAAACCTTTTTCTTTGAGATTTTATAATTGTCTATGTTAAAGGAAACATATTTTTATTCATCTTTTTTCGGGAGAGGATGGAATTAGGAGGTTTTTGTAGAAAATACTGGCATATATCTGTGACAACTAAAATAAGACATTGTAATCTGATTGTGATGAACTGGTATGGTATGAGGATTGCAAAATGCACATGTCTTATTATTTTTGAACAGATATTATTTTTTGCAGTCATACATTTTTAACAAATTTGTGTTAACTAAGTCAACTGTTATCTTCTATGGAATAGAAGTTGGTGGTTGTTTAGTTCTTGATAATGAGAGTGGCTTTATATCTTTTTACAATAACAGATATTATTTTGATTTGGTTCCATAACAACAAATTACTTTACCCCACTTAAGTGAGTTTTCCATACAGATGTTGTTCTAGTGTTGGAACATTTAATGCTTCAGTATTAGAATCAGATTGATAACAGTTGCAGATTCTATAATGCAAATTAATTACAGTTTTGATGATTAAATACAATGCCTATTTTCTACTGTATATTAGGAATATTGAAATCACCAAATGCAAATTGTGTGAGCTGTTCATTCAATGCAGTATTTTATTGCCATCCCTGAATTATAATATTGATGATTTATTGATGAAGTGTTCAGATGTACAGTTTTTTCAAAAGCAATGTTTGGATTTTAACATTCTGAGAATTAAAAGACTGCAAAATGCACTGGACTAAAAGATGTAGGGAAATTGATTATTAGTTTGATCCATGATGCTTTTCATTACTGATTTTCCCTCCAACATACATCATGAATGTATTGTAGAGGCAAGTAAAACATGTATATAATAAAAATTAATATATTTTCTGATTTATCATAGTGTTGGGAAATATTATCAGAGAAATCAAAAATAAAAGAGGCCAATATGATAAAATTTGTTTTTAATTTTGTTACCTAATTGCACAATTTCTCATTCTACATAATTTTACAGTGGAACCTGCTAAAGAACTTCTCCTTTGTCACATCCATTTTACAGCAATAGTTTTTCATCTTGATCTGAAATTGTAGGAAACTTCTGCCTGTGTTGCCTCCTAAGAGTTGCATGGACATGGCACTTGAGCCTATCCTACTAAAATGATCTGTGTATGAACTACTTCGAAATCATGTGTAAGATCATTAAGTGAACAATGTGATCCCAGCCACACCTCAGACTACCGGACTGGGAGAAACCAGATTCTAATGATACTATTGTATGTGCATGATTTCTTGAGCCCCAGAATTCTTACTCCATCCTTTACTACTAACATCAGTTGAATTAAGTTACAGTGAAACGCGTTCTGTTATCGATGGCTTTCGCTGGCTTTGCTTTCGCAGTAACGGAGCCTCCCAGGTGGCGCGCGCGCTTCTTTTCTATTGTCTGTACGTTGGTCGCCCTAAGGTTCGGAACTGTCGGAACCGTTCCATTCTCGGTTGTTCTCGCCTGCGTCGGCCTAGCCTGTATTGGCAGTGGAGACCGTCGTCTAGCGCTCCGCGCTTGTTCGCCAGCACCACGCAACTATGTGATTTAAAGCCGCAACGCGTTGCCATCGCAAAAAATTCAGTTTCTTACATTAAGATGAGTTAGTTGGAAGGTGACAATCGATTAATTTGGAAACAATTTTGGCGAAACAAAATAAATCAATACGATTTTTGAAATAATTAAAAGCAAAAAGTGTGAAAAATAATTGAAAATTAACATTTTAGCTATATCAATAAAATAGAATTAAACTAGTGGTGCTACAGAATGGCACAAACGTTCCAGTATTCGTTTTATATTTCCTTTGTTCTCTTCGAACTTGCCACTTATCTAGGCTGTCCGGGTGACGCCGAGTCGAAGGCTGAGTTGCCGACGTTTCGACCATCCTGTCGTGGTCTTCCTCAGGGCTGGTATGCGCCGTGATGGTCAGCGCTCATGTTTATAATCAAGTCTAGGCCATGTGCTATTGGCTGAAGCAGCGGCCAATCGGAAGCCGCCAGTTAGCAGCGCGGGGGGGGGGTCAAATCGGGTGGCGCGTGATCGGACGGCGCGGAAAGGCCTACGACTTCATTGCCACTTATCCTTGCTTGCTGCCATCCAACGCCACCTAAAACACTTTCCCCCCCACCTTAATTGTAGAGCGAAAATTTTATTTTAAGATTATTAATGAACGGTAAAACTTCGTCCTCGATGGAAATTTTCTTTGAAACATTTGGAGCCGTTTTAAAAAAATTGGTGTTTAAGATGCACTGTAAATTCGAAATGTGAAGCTCTTTTTCACAGACAATTTTTGAGTTTTCGAAAAACTTAATTTGAAGTCATTTTAAATGCTTTAAATCACAAATACTATAGTATTTACAAAATGTTGGAAATGAGCATACAACGGCGTGAGATCTTTCAAAACATTTACATTTGTGTAATTTTGGGGAGAAAAATACACCGAAATTAACTTCATATTAAAGAGTGCAATTATCATTATCCGTTCGAAGTGTTTGAAGAAAAAAATTGGAGCCGTTATTTAGAAACTGGCGTTGGAGCGTTTGTGAAAATGCAAAATTCGAGCTAGTTATCACACAAAACGGTCGAGTTTTCAAGAAACTTAATCTCACAATATTTAAAGCAATGTACTCATAAGTACAAGGATGTGAACAGATTGCCGCTAATATAAATATTAGAAAGTAAAAAAAAATTAAATTTTTGAGAAAACAAAAGAATAGAGCAATATGGCGTTTATGTCATCTTGTAGAGTACATATAGCACTATCTCTACCAAAAGTTTTAAAAAATCAATTCGGAGCCATTTTTGCGAAAATATTTTAATAATTTTTTAAAATTACATATATTGCGCGAAAATGTTCAAAAAAATTACATGACCTTAATGAAAGAACTCCGTATGGAAAACAAATTTTATTTGAAGGTAAAATCCCTACCTTTAATTTTATAGTTGTAGACGCCCGAAAAATTTTGAAATTTTCGAAAATTCAGTGTTAAACCTGAAAATTGGACCAATGGCTTCTTTATAAGTGTATATTACTCTATTTTTACAAGAAATTATAGGAAAAACTTGAAACGGTTTTTGAGAAAATTTTGAAATTGTCCGGGGAGTTTCATATAAAGTGCCCTAAAATTTTAAAGTTTTTTTCCCCTCAAAATCTTAAAGATTCGACACGTGTTTCTTCAATTTGTAAACGATCTTACGCGTGGCTTAGACGCTAGTAGTGTTCACAGATAGGTGCCGGACGGACGGACAGACTGACGGACGATTTGAAAAATAACCAACACTTTTCAGTATCAGCGCACCCCAAAACGTGTATTTCCGTTGAAGTCTCGAAATCGATTTTCCGCAGCATTACATAAGTTTCCCTATACTACGTTTATTACTCTGTATATATGTGCGGGAAAATATTGCGCGATGAATTCAAAAAAGAAATGAAAGGGAAGATTCGTTTTGTCTGATGCATCAGAAGTTGTTTCACATTGACCAGAAGATGCAGATAATGAGGAAGCGTTCGTTGATGAAGGTATATCCACGGAAATTGTAAACAGTATTCTTATAAGTATACGTGAAACATTTATCAGAATAAGTTTTAACGAACATCAATGTAGAGAAGAAAATAAAATGGAAAAGTTTTCAACGGTGAAAGTTTTTCATTTTTCTATTAACACTCAGCGTGGTCCATCCAAGAGTTCAAATGGTAACTAATGGAGCAACAGCACATACTTTCTCGCATTATTGGAAACGGGTACGAAATATTGCAATTTCTGCATTACTAACCTCACAGCTACTACTTGAAATCGTCCAATTCAAACAAAGCGCCTGTGATGCATAGTCGAGAGCAGCAACCATTTCTTACAAATGAATCAAACAGGTATAAATTTGACTGTTGCAGTATTCGCAGCAAATTATACAAAAGCGAGCAACACACTGTTGCCAGCGCGGCGTTGTCAAAACTATGTGCAATGCTTTGGCACAATGCAGTTTTCACGGATGTTCATGAGGAAATGGGGCTAATTAATACATGTATTCATTTCTATTTTATCACTGCTATTTTACGAAATATTGTGGTAACTTTTTTTTTTTCAAACAAAAATTTTATACGTATTTTTTTAGTGTATTGTGACGAGTGTAAAAAGACGAATCCTATGATATACATATTGTTACATGTTAGATAAGCGTTTTGAGTCAAAGCATTGAGTAAGTTTGATTATTTTGCAACTCATGTTTAACTGGCATTTTTAATGTAACAGTCCGCCACCGAAGGTCACGCAGCGTTCCCCTGGTACACGCTAGGGCAAGGGAAGCTGATCGAAATATTTGAAAATACGAAACATATTCCAACTTAGACAAAACTGTTGCAAATTTTTCCTGAACCGTTTTCCATCTTTCATTTTTTTGTCATAGTACATAAACCATCACTAACACGAAATCTATGCATGTCTCCAATGAAAAATTTAGCCTCTCGTATTAAAACATTTTATTTCTAAAAATACATTCAACTTCTTATATTCTTACTTTTTGGTGAATTGTTACCCATCTAGAGAAGAAGCTCTTCCTTCCATTTGGCAAGAAGCTCTGTTGCCAACCTAATTCATCATAACGTGAACTGAATTCACAAATTGTATCTTTGATGTTGTAATTTCATTATTTTGGAATTTTAATTTATTTATTAATTAGGGAGCCCACAAACATATTTGCCCTTCTCTGGTTTGATTCTGTGCTTGCAGGATTGTATATGAGCCTCACAAGTACTGTAATTGCATGTTCAATCACAATATGTACAAATTACTATATGTATGCCCTGTTTTACTAACTCCCTACACACAGAACAATGATACAAGCAGCAAGATAGGACCACAGATTACTATGGGTGTAAATGTACAGGCTTAGGACTGAGATGAGCGTAAGTCCTTCCTTGGTGTGATTTAAAGGAGTAGAAGGATGCCCTTATCTGGGAAATGTTCCCCCGGAGAAGAGTGGTTACCGTCGGAGCCTCCTTTATAAAAGTGTATAGCAAATACAAGTCATGTTAGTACTTAAGTAATAAAACTAGCCTGTAACAAATTGGAATTAGGCAGTCCAGATGGCCAAGATCGCTAAGGTAGTAGTGCCGTAGCAAACTCGACCTGATGGATTGCGGGTTCGAGTCCCGCCTCGCGCATAGTTGTATTGTGTTACCCCCTATCATCATATCGCGTCATGCTCATAGTTACGTTACCATACCATTACACGCAATAGTGGTCGCTAAAAAAATCATCAGTCTATGATGAAAAACCAATAATGGAAAAATATGACTATTATTTAATTTTATGAAATAAAGCCTTTTTAAAACTAAATGAATTGCTTACCTTTATTGATTTAGAAACAGGGTTGCATAAGGTACCAAAGAGGAAAAAATCGTTATATTGGAAGACACTGTTTTTAATCTTTTATTATATTAACTATCACAAAGTATCAAGTAATTAATATTTCTTACAATCGCAAAATCTTTAGCCTTAAAGTAGGCCCTCTTTTATCTGGGCCCGCCTGCAATGCAGCCCTAATGGGCCCCAATGTTACATCACTGGAGAGGCCTTAATAGGAAGCTTCTGAGCAGATAAATGGCACTTAGGAAGAGAGGCAAGCAAAACTCAAAAAGAGCACCATCTCAAAAGAGAGTCTGTGATGTTTTGGAGCATCACTAGTTAAGAGGATAAAAAGTGGAAAAAACTGAAAAAAACTTAATTCATGACAATAAGGTATGTATCACTTGAATTAGAGATGAACAAATGGCACACGTGACATTCAAAATAACTGGTCCGCCAGTGGATTTTTATTGAGGTTCAGTGAAGCCACTTTCTAGAATAAAATCACTCCAGATATGATGGAAAGAAAGAGAAGAACAAGTCACACAAATCTTACAATTAATAAGTATTTATTACTGCTTTTTTAAAATTAAAATAAAACAAGGGGGAAAATTATTTAATCAATTATAAAGGTGTAACAATTGGCCCCTATACAATTTTGTTTTAATTTTTTCTCAATGTTTAGTTCTGCAAATAAATACATCTGGGGAAAAAAAAAAAAAGAAAATAGATAATGCATTGATTTTGTGATGTCAAAGTTTTTTCTTCTTTACAAAATGAGAGATCTTACACTTTCTCACTGAAGTATCACATAATTATCTACGTTGTATTTACGTATTTTGTTATTGACATTCAATAATTCACTTTTTGAAATAACAGCTATGTACTCATAACACTATTATTCAATTTACTTGCCATAAGAAACAAAATTATGTTGTAAATACTTCTTTAATATGCTAATGTTTGCCTCTTTGATAAAAGTTTTTGAGTATGAAGATTTATTACATTATTTACATGGTCAGCAATCACAGATAAATAAATCTTTCACCTTGGTCATCTCACACTATTCATGCAGTGAAAACACAAAATATTTCTGAGCATTCAAAGTGTTCCAATCAGTCCATTCTCACAGAAATGTGTTTGACAATTAACAATATCAGTAGTATTTTCAAACGTTCACTCTCCTTCAGTTCCTGCAGTTGCTTGTGTGAGGTACACTGGAGTAGCTCCTCCTGACTGCTGTGCAACCTGTAAGAAAGGACCAAATTTTATAAACAAGAAAATATTATGGAAGATAATTAATAGTACTTGATACAACTCTAAAAGCAACGACTGATGTAACCATCAATTAACAGATGCAAAAATAATTACTATAAAATGAAGGAAGGATTTGAGAAGGAAAAAACACCTTTTAATAATTGCATTCATGTAGGTCTCCCAAAAGTGTTTCTTTCACAATAATTGCGGATTTATCCATTCCATCATGATAATTAAACCTAATTTTTTATTCTAACAAAAAAGTATTATTATCAATTATTTTCCATGTTACTATGTCCCAAAATGGACGAGTAGGGTACTGGAATACATTATAAAATATTATTTTTATTATGAACTTGTAACGTAGAAATAAAAATGTGTCTAACCTACTAAACGCGTTTACTGGTTAGGAGTATATGTGCCGGAACATAACAGCAAAAATTTTAGGTGTATCAAATATGAATGAGACTTTTTGAAAAACAATATATTGTATATTAGAAAATAAAACAAACAAAAAACAATGCAGACTACTTTTCTACATAGCTTCCACATTTATTTACACATTTCTGCCATCTTATTAGTAGTGTCGTAAACCTGTTCTCAAAAAAGTGTTGACGTGTGTACAACCATTTGCGCACAAAGTCTTCCACCTCTTCATTAGTGGAAAATTTCTCGCCACCTCCGCCCTCCTTACTGGTTTGAAAAGATGGTAGTCCGAAGGCACCAAGTCTGGGCAAAAGAGGAATGCTCCAACACTGTCTGGTGTAATACCTTCAATATTAAAGCTGCAGTTTGAGGCCTTGCATTGTCATGGAGAAGGAGAACACTGAAATTCTTCGTCTTTTCGACCGGTAGACATGTTTAATCTTCCTCAAAAGCTCACAATAGTTAGCTGCATTAAGGGTAGGATGCTCTTGCAGCAAATCAACGAAAACCCCTCCTTTTGCGTCCCAGAAGACAGTCATTAGGACTTTACGGGCAGACAAATGAGTCTGCTTTGACTGGCGCTGATTCATATTTTGATCGCAAGTACATGCTGGACCTCATCGTTTCAGGAGTGTAGTGGTACACCTACGTTCCATCACATGTGAGAATGTATCTTAGAAATGAGTCTCCTTCTGCACCATATATATATATATATATATATTATATATTATATATATATAATATATATTATATATATATATATATATATATATATATATAGATATATATAATAAAGGGAGGAAATAAATTACATTTATGTAATTTTCGAAAAAATAAAAGAATAGAGCAATATGGCATATTATGCCATATTATAGAGTACATTTCACACCATACCTACCAAAAGTATTAAGAAAAAATTTGGTGTCCCTTTTGAGAAAATCTTGTTTCTGTTATTTTTTAATTTTGTGTGAAAACTAGAATTTTAACTGTTATGTACAATACCTTAATGAAAGGCCTAATAAGGACAACCAATTTCATTTAAAGGAAAAATCTCCATCTTTAATTTTGTTGTTGTAGGAAGATGCATAAAAAAATTCCAACTTTTGAAATTACGAAAAATCCAGAGTTAACAGAGAAAACTGGACTTATGCTGTCTTTCTGGGCGAATTTTACTCTATTCTTTAAAAAAATTAGAAGCCATTTCTGAGAAAATATCCCAGGTAAAGAACTCCCAAAGTTTAAAGAGTTTTTCAAAATCACATAGCTCTAATTTGAGCTAGATCGACTGAGGAATATCCATTTTGGAAAAAATCCTATGTATGGTTTAGGCGCTAATGGTGTTTGCGGACTGACATATGTTTTGTAAAAAACAACTTTTTCGTATCAGGGTACCCCAAAATGTGTATTTCTGTTGAAATCTCAAAATCAATTTTCCACCACTTTACGTAACTTTCTCTATACTATATATATTACTTTGAATATACGTACGTATGCAAGAGTGTAAAAACAATCTCAGGACTTAATTTTATAAATATATAACATAAACTGTAATAATACAAAATATAAAGAATAAAATAAAGTATGTTAGTCTATTCACAAAATTCATTCAAAATAAATTCCTTCATTTCTTTGATTATTTTCATTCACAATAACATCCATACATTCATACCTAACTTTGTTATTTTTTTAAATCTCAAAAATCATTAACACACTTGATTAGTACTAATTTTTGTAATTCTTCACAAAGGTTGCTACTAAAATTGATTTCATTCTTGCTAATTTTAACAAGTAGTTATTATATTCACCATTTGATGAAAGTGGACTAATATTATGTTTTGGCAATTTCGTAATAATAATGTTATTTTAATAATACCCAGCTTCCATGCCATGTGCATAATAAAGGTATGTTTAGTCGTCTCTATTTTTGCTTTATAAATTTTGTAGTAAAGTGTCTATCACAGAGGTATATAGAAGAATCAGACATGTCAGCATTAAATAAAACTTGTTCAAAACTACTATATCATATACAGTAAAATCCTGGTATTCTGAATTAATTGGGGGTGTGATCTGTTTGAATTCGGAAATGTTCAGATAAAGCGAAAAAATGTACCATGCATATACAAAGATGTCTATAGGGTTACCAGATGCAATGCAACCTGTGTGATGTGAGGAAATGGCAACCTAGTGTAATGATCACACCATCACATCGCATCATCAAGCAGATTCAGTTCCTTACAGCAAAAGTAGATTACAAATTTTGCAAGTTCCTGGAAGTGAAAATCACTGCTACATAAGTACCAATCTGATATACACCAATGCAGTTGCCAGTGCAATAAACATTTTATTTCGACAACTTGCTTCAATAATTAAGTTTTTCAGTAATTATAAAATCTTTTCTTTACACTATACTTAAGTATTTATTTTGTTTATTTTTCCACCACCCTAAATTTTGTTCAGATTATCCGAAATTTCGGATTAGCAAGTTTCTACTGTACATATAATTTTAGGTAAATTAATGGAGGGCAAAAATAATTTCGTTAAAGTAAAATTTATGTTGCATCAGCATTTGTTAAAATGAAATATCTCTGTAATACATTTCATAACTTGTTGCATTACCTGTATGATTTGAGGTTGAGATGTAGCTTGCTGAATAGCTTGAAGAGGGGCAGCTTGAATGATGATGGGCTGATTCGTATTTCCTTGTACTTGCATTCTTATCATTTGCAACTGTGAAGGTGTAAGCTGAATCTGAAACAGTTGTTAAAATGTAGTTTTTATAAAAACTTCATAAAGAGCCAAAATATTTCACTATACTATGGGTAAATTTAGGCAGTTCAAGATCAGCATAAGCTATCCCGAGTCTTAAATGCCTTCATCACTGCATTTCCCTTTCCAATACTAAGCTTTTGTCCCTTTGTGCTCGGATGCAGTTTTGCATCTTTGATGGTTGAAGAATTTAGGCCTCTGATGACAAGTTCTTGGACCATGGATGATTACTATTGGTGCTTAGAAAGTAAGAGAGAAAAGGAGACATAAGAGTAAAATAGTGGAAACAGCCAAAATTTGATAGAAACTGAGAAGAATTTCACGGAAATTTCTGTTTTGTACACGCAAGAATTTTAAATATTTTCATTGTCATCCATTCCCTATTGCTTTTGTTCCAAAATATTAAACCAAGCATTTAGTTCTGTGTGTTTTAACTGGTCTTGAAGGAATGTATCAGAAGCATCATCTTCAGTAAAATACACTTGGAGCAAATGAACTGATAAGCATATCTCACATCAGGCAGATTGTAGGCAAAAATTCTGTAGTAAAGATTCACATGGACAGCTTAAAAAAGAAAAGACTTGATAAATAAGATATTCATTTTCCTGTTGAAATGTGCATGTTTCCCTGATCATGGCCTTTGTAAACATAACTATATAACCTCACACCCACACACTTGCCCACATCATGTGATGCCAAAACTACTTTGGCCAATGGTCATGTGAGGCCAAAATTTGATAGAAACTGAGAAGAATTTCACGGAAATTTCTGTTTTGTCAAAACTACAATCGATTGCATCTTACAAAACAAAATAATCAAAAAATGACAGCAGATAAGCCTTCATTCTATTACATTTATGATTTTATTAATAGTACATGTTTATACTATAAAACTACTATAAAATACCCAGCTATAACAAATCTGGAGCTCACTCCTTTATAATTAAAGCAGAAATCACAAAATTTGATTTAGTAGAAACCTCAATTTGCTCTCTAAACAAAAACCCTTTGTGCTTTATATATAAAGATAGTGGAAACACTATCCAAAAAATGACTTTGAGCTATCCAAATTTTCTGCCGATTCTATTTACAAAAGTACCAAATTTAAAACAAAATTCTATAATGTTAAAAAAACAAATTATAATGTTAAATCTAAAAAATGTTAAAAACTTATTGAGCTAATTATAATAATAATTAAAAATGTATTTACAATCAATATTTCAATAAACTATTTTAACAATACCGGAATTTGTTGTATCTCCCCTGTTGGTGTGACTATTTGTTGCACAATCTGAATCCCACCAGTTTGTTGGGGAGACTGAGCAGGTTGTTGCAACTGTATAACTTGTGCTGTTTGTTGTTGGGCTTGCTGCTGCTGTTGTTGTTGTTGCTGCTGCTGCTGTTGTTGTTGCTGCTGTTGTGATGCATTTGCTTGAGACTGAGAAGTAACAGCGGCACTGTTGCTGGCAGTTATAGTAGGAGTCTAAAACAAGAATATCAGTAGTTAACAAAATTATGTATATTTGATAAACCATACCTTTTGTCAAAGCACCATACTATTTAAAATAACATTCTAGTTTTGGTTAACAAATACTTGCATTTTGATTTCGATTTGGGCTCCAGTTTTTGATAACTATGTTTTAGTTTTGAAAGGGTTTCAAAAGATTTTTCTATCTTTTCTTAAATATTGTATATAATAATTCTTGTACTGTATGTACAAGAAATATAACTGTAGCAGCTAATTTACTTGGCAATATATTTAATGAAAAATCTCACAACTCAAACAGTTTTTAGAGATTAGGTTTGATGCTCAACATTTTTTCAAATTTTTTAAACAATCATGCACCAGCGCACAACATTTCATTTCCTTAAAATATATGACATTACTTTGTTCATATTTCATTGCTCTTGCTGTGTGGGATCAGCTAAGCACATTCAAATTTCTACAGTTTAATGTGTAGACTCCTGAATGATCTGTGCTGAGCCATATGTAACCAGGTATCAAGAAAAAGTGAATAACTATTAATAGTAATGTAAAATTATAATTATAATGAAAATCACATACAAAAAATATAACAAACCTCTCATATATAAAACTGTTTCAAGCACAGAACAAAATGTCTAATTTCAAATGTCTTCTTAGATCCACTTCACAAGAAAAATTTAATTTTTTAAGTATCTTTGCATAGAGAAAATTTCAAGAAAGATTTTTGAACAATGTTAAAATGTTCTCTTTTGGACTGAACTGTATAAGTATTTATCAACAGTTCAATACAAATCATTTCGATACTTCAGTACTTTGTGTTTAAGAAATCATAAAATCATCAGTAATGAAAACATAAGTGATGATTAAGTACATTAGTAATACAAATATTCATAGCACATGAAAGATTTTAAAACCAAAACATTTGCAATTTTTGAAAATTATAAATTTCAATGAAAAGTTTGTTTAGGTATTTTGAGAAAATTGTCATATTTTGATGTAAATTTGAACAAAATGAAAAATCCTTAAAACATTGTTATTTAGAATCTTTTTAAATTACAGAGACACCTTATTTAAAGAGACAGTTTTACTTTCAGGAACTCTGTAGCATTTACTTCCTTCAAAATACTGCAATCAATCTTTATAAGCTATGTATGTATGTATGGAAGATAATACTACAGTAATTTCTGCTACCTCCTTGTTCTTCCACTCGCACTGAACATACAATACTCGCTCAGATAAGAAACAAAATTGTTTTGTAAAGAATGGAATTAAAAGAATTACCTGTTCTACAACTTGCCCAGCAACACTTACAGTCTGTAATTGTCCTGAAGGTTGAACAATTTGAATAGTAGGGACAGATGTTGACTGACTAGTGGAATTGGTCTGTTGTGATGTTTGTTGTAATGCTGCTTGGTGTTGTTGAGCAAGTTGAAAATAATAATGAACCTAGAATAGATAGTAAATGCTGTAAATAAACTTAAATAAATAAGAACACAACTTCCCATAGAAAGACTGAAAGAATTTTTCAAATTTCAAACCTGATCAGGATTCATGGAAGCTGTTCTGATGCTTGCATCATCTCTCACTTTATTAGTTTTCAACTCATCACGTGGGACAATGTCAATCAAAAAGTCAAACTGATCAAATTTAGTAATGGCCATTGCAATATCATTCCTCTGGAAATCAAGATATCTTTTGAACCTCATGTTAACAAACATAAAACATCATACAGTCATTTCAAATTAATGCTTTGAAACTTGATTAATCACACTCAGTAATTTATAAGTACCCCAGCAAATAAAATAATATCAACAAATTATGGAAGGGCTGATAAAGATTTAGCTCAAGATAAATAAAAAGTGATGACAATTTACATTCATTAAATACATTGGTTTAATATACAACCATAAAATTATCCTAAATACCACACCTGAAATTTCTTTGTAGAAACTGAATAGGGTTAGTTTAATGCAATTGCTTTTTAAATGAAATGGTGAATGTTAAAACAGTGAATAGAAGGGCTTCTTTCTTATTCTTTACAATTTGCCTGTTGTCCTTTAACCATCACTGGTATGAATGAAACTATTACACCTGAAGATTACTTAAACTTCAAAGAAATTCTACAGTAAAATCTTTTTAAAAAATCATCTTTTAACAATAAAATGTTAAATTTGAAGTAATGCAGAACTCTTTTTTTCTAAACAACAAGACATTTCAATGACCGATGACATAGATATATTAATCTTAGATTTGCCTAACTTTCTTGCTCTAAATTAGTAGCAAAATGTGTTACCTGAAGTGTTCTTCTCTTGTTATCTTCTGTATGAACCCACGCTCTTAGGGTGAGTTCGTGAATAAAGATCTCAGCTGCTTTGGCAAAGAGCATAGGAGCTTCTGCGCTAATCATCTTCACATCATCATCTAACTTCATAATTTTTTTAATTCTGGCTAATGGCAATGCTTGAGCTTTGAGATCCAGCTAATGATAAAGAATTGGTCATAAAAAAGTAAATATGAATATCAACTAGCTTGTGAACGGAGCAAGTGACTAACCGTTCCTATTTTCTTTATATCTTCAGTTACTTTGGCCCAGAAAGTTGATAAAGCTTGTTGAGCTTCAGATTGCCCTTGGGATACTCCACTTGCAACACCTGAAGAATCATCTACTTCACTATCTGTCCTGAAGTCATAACCAAATATCAGAACTTGAATGAATATGCACAACCGTAATCTTAATTTATTTCAAAGGGGGAAAATTGGTGGCACACAGAATCGCTTACGCAAATATGAAATTAAAAAAATAATAATAAACATGCACATTTAGTCTTAATCTTAAACATTTCTAGAAGATAACCACATATAGAGTTGGATACCTACGCATTTACGAAGAATACGGACATTTCGATGTGTGATAAAGTTAAAAATACACTGTTCGTGTGGTATTTTAGATTTTATTCGAACTACTTGTCGAATTACATAGAACCCGCGTTTAAAAGAAGAGTCTCAGAACCAATCACTGCGATTATGAGATGCTCTCCAATCACTAGACAAAATGGACACAACCAAGAATCTGAATGGTCAGGATAACACGTCACAGTGCGAAGGTCTGCAAAATCGTGTTTTTACTACTGTCTATTTAAAAGGTCTTATTCCACAACCAGTAGCCTAGAACGTTTTACGATGCTTTATTCATAGAAATTCCACAAGCGATTGCTTCGTTCACGCGTCCTTTGCGTCATGCCTCCATCTGTGTGTTTACACAATCTGCGTAGTACGTACCATAATATACTCTTTGGTACGTACAATGTTCTCTAGGTACATACTTGCGGCATAGTATCTAATTCGCTTTCGGTGTTAGTCACAAACACAGGTAGACGCCCTTTCGAGTATGTGTGTGTGTTTCGAGTATGTGTGTGGATAAGTATATATATTTATATACAAAAAAATTACAATCTACACATACACACACACACACACATGCATACATACAGAAGATGGAATTACTCCGTGAATAGTTCTTTATGGTAATGTGAGATTATTGCATTTTGGATGGCCTTCGGTTCGTCGACTGTACTAACAGTATCTTTTAGTAGTATTCAAATTCCTTCTCTACAAATTATGTAGTTACACTTGTCGACACAACGAAGTCGGGAGAAATCTGGGAGATAATGGAACTAAGGAATCTCACTCTTCAAAATTAGCGCTATTAAATTAATTAAAGCTGGAACGAATTCTACTTCTGAAGAAGAATACTAACGGCCGGCTGCTTTGATCGGTAGATTGCTTCGATCAATACCAGGCGAATTTCGGAGCAGTACCCATACAAACGGACCACGGGTGATCTTTCTTTCTTCTTCTTTGTTCTTATGCCCCCTTACATACGCGCGCGTAAGCACTACATAATACGTCTGGACTCGAGACGAGAGCTTAAGGCTGCCTCGTCGGGGGAGATGCCCGGAGTGGGAAAACCTCCAGTCATCGTGTAGGTCAGAGCAAGATCTCAACATCCAGTGCGGAAATTATCACTGCCATCTCCCAGGAAAAACATTCCCTTAACTAAATTGGTTGATTAGTGATTCCGGGCGCATCAACTGCTAAGGTCATTAGCCCCGGAAGTGTAGTGCATGTTTTTATCATGGGAGGTGGCAACGATCTTCCCCGCTGGGTGGTGAGAACCGGCACCGACCTACGACTTGTTTCTCCCCAAACCAGGTATCTCCCACCAGCAGGACACTGCCCTAGCCTGGACAAGTTCTAAGCTCCCGACTTGTCTCCTAACAGGTGTAGTACTGTTGTGCATATACAGGTGTAGTACTGTTGTGTGTGTATAAGAGAGGAGTGAGGATAGGGCAAGAATGAGGAAGGATCGCGCGTGGCCCGTTTATTTGAGGACTGCTCCGCCATTCACTTGGTATTGATAGGAGAAACCTCGGAAAACTACCGATCAGCGCAGCCGGCCGCTAGAATTCTCCTCCAGACTAGCTAGCTAGTGTTGAAAAGCCTGCCATCATCGAGACTCAAACTCCCGGACCTCCGTTCAGAGACACTAAAGTGACATCAGTTGATGCCCTGATCCACCTTTTTGCCGATAAACATGCCCGAAAATATCAATCAATTCAAGATCTGTGGATGTGTACAGAATTTTGTAAAGATGTCGGGAGCTAAGAAGTTGTTATTGAAGTGAGATAAAGTAGTAAACTCAAGAATTTAATAACTTGCTGGGCTAGTGTGAAAACTGCACGCTCTTAATTGAAATTAAATAGTTGTGGTCCCCGAGTTATAGTAAAAATTACTTAGAATTCAACTTTGAATGGCAGCCTCTGAATTGTGCAATACAGTATTGCAGGCACAGTGAGTTTATTCTTATATTGATAAGTGAAGAGATTAAATTGCACTGGCAATGAAACTGTCCAAAAATGTAATAACTGTCCAAATAAATGTAGTTCAAGATCTCATGTCGTAGAATAGTGCTTTAGAGCCATGTAGTTGCAGTAATGTTTCTTTTCACGACAAACTTTTTTCATCTTTAATGCGGGCATTCTATTACTACACTTTCAAGGCTTGGTGCAGATAGTTTCTTATCAAATCAAACAATCATTGTCCTAGTATTTTTGTGTGAATGTGTGCATAAGGAGAAAAATAATACAGTTTAATTTATGAATAAAAAATAGTAGCATTGAAATTAACATTCTAAAAATTAAAATTTTATGAATAGTTCTGAAACTGGAAAAAAGATTTTTTTAAATGAAGTAATCATTAAAAGAATGAATCATAAACTTTGTTAAAATAAAATTAAACTAATACTTTTTTCCCTGAATTGGAAATTTTTTAATTTATCAAAAGTTTGAACTAATTTTCTGAAAATAGTGTTATCATAGATTCAGTAAATTTCATTTTTCAATTGTTTTTAAACAAAATGAATGTGAGTACATGCCATAAGTTTAACCTGTTGAGTTTGACCTCTCGTTTTGATCTTGCACCTAATAAAAGGTGGTACATGAGATTGCTTTACATTACAACAGGGTGCATGATAAAGCAAAACAAGTGGTCCATTGATGTTCATTTTGAAAGAGTGTATTTCCATAAAATGTGAAGCATACTTTATGATCTATTTAATATGAAAGGACAGAAGTGTGAAGATTTATCCTTCCTTCGCTCCATTATACCTATGGTATTCAAGCAGTTCTATATTGAGAAATGTATGTAAAAGGGTGTTTAAAGATCTCTTTGGCACAAATAAAATTGTGCATGTGTGTGTTAAAATGACTGGTCTCATTTTCATTAAATTTCTGGAATTTCAAAAATTGCAGAAGTTCAATTTCTTTTTGAAACTTGTACTGTCATTTTTTTGAAGTTTAGGGTTGAATAGGGACAACAAGGTTAGAAAGTTCTAGAATTATTTCAGAGGTTGCAAGGTATTAGGATAGGGATTTTGCAGTGAAGTGTTTCCTATACCGTTTCAAATTGTAAACAGAAAAATGAAAGGAATCCAAACAGCCCTTGATGAATGTTGTAGATAATGTTGCAAGTTGTTAAAGATGGGAGTATCCAATGAAATCCTTTGATTTGCAGAGTTTTGTTAAATATCATTTGGACAGGGAGAGGAAAGAAATTATGCAATTCAAGAACAACCTTCCGGAGTCATACTGGGCTTAGACTTTATTTAACAAGCAGAAGGATAAAATTAGTATTGAATTTGTCAAAATCTGACCTTGGGAAAAACTGAAGTCACTCCACAGGACATTGAACATGCTAAAGTCACTCCACAAGAAAAAAATTTTGTGCCGTTTTTGAGAAAATCTTGTTTTTGTAATTTTTTTTTAAATTGCAGAATGCTCACAATATTGCGCGAAAACCACTAAAATTTTCAAAAAAATGTACATGACCTCCATGTAAGAACTCACTATCGGGAAAATTTTAAGGGAAAATCTGCTGCATTTTGTCATTCAGCAGATTTTCCCTTCAAATAACGGAGTTGTAGACATCTCAATTTGCTTGTTCAGCCATGTTGAAGGTAATGTCAATTTAATCTAAGTCCCGTTTCAAACTGCGCAAAGACGACGTTGGTTTGGATATATTAAGACTACATAAGATCTACGAGTGATCAAAACAGGATGCAAATTCAGTGCTCCAGAATCAATGATTCGAAGTGAATTTGATTAACTAAGATCGATTGTAGATGATGTTGAGGTTATTGTCGTAGCATCTCTAATTATTCGATCAAACTTGTTTCTATAATACAATCTTCAAAGAGTTAGAGAGCACTTTCAGCGAATAAGGAACTGGGTCGATAAACAATAATAGTCAGCATTTCTCTTTTCTCAGATATTCAGGTAAGTATATTCCCATACATGCCATAGTATCTAATGGATCAGGAAATTATATTCTCGATAATTTAAGAAATTTGTTTAGGTAAATAGCGACTCCTCCTCCTCTGGTCTATTTGTAAAGATAAATAAAACTTCATCCTAAGTGGCAATTTTCATTGAAACATTTGGAGCCCCTTTTAAGAAAATGGCGTTTAAACGCTACTGTAAATTTGAAGCTCTTTTTCACAGAAAATGCTTGAGTTTTTAAAAATCTTCATTAGAAATCATTGGAAGCATTTTAACTCAGTGTTTACAAATTGTTGTATATACATATCAATGCCATGACATGTTTCAAAGAAATTATATTTGTAATTTTTGAACAAACAAGAAGATACCCCGAAATTAACTTTACGTCTTATAAAAATGCAATTAGCATTATCCATTCGAAAAGTTTGAAGAAAAAACTTGGAGCAAGTTTTGAGAACATGATGTATGAGCATTTCTGAAATTGCTGCATTTTCAGCTAGTTTTCATAGAAAATGTTCTATTTAACACTATTTAAAGCACATGTACTCATGAATATAATGTGAACAAATTGCCACTAATAAATATTAACGCCGTGAGGGTCGAGTAAAAAAATACATTTTTGTATTTAAAAAAAAAAGTATAGAGCAATATGGCGTCTATTTCATCTTATAAAGTACATTTAATACTACCCCTACCAAAATTTTAAAGAAAAATTATAGCCGTTTTAATGAAAATTTTGAAAATGTCCGGAGAGCTTCATGTAAACTACCCCCCAATTTTAAAGATTATTTTTCAAAATCGTCAAGCTTCGATATAAGCTATATCGACTTAGGTTTCTTCAACTTGAAAAAAAAATCGGGCGTTAGTAGTAACAGACGGACGTTTTGGAAAAAGAAAATACTTTTTCAGTATCAGGAGACTCCAAAACACGAATTTCCGTTGAAATCTCGGAATGTATTTTCCACAGCATTACATATCTTTCCCTACACTCCGTGTATATATGAATGTATAAGAAAAAGTAAAAAACTGCTTGGAATTTTTTCTTTCGATTTTTTCCACGAAAAACAACAACTTTTTCCACGAAAAACAACAACAACAAGGAATGAAAGACTGATTAATTGAGATTTTCCTTGATCTCTCCAAATTTTCGAAAAAATGTTGAAAAGAATGGGAGGGACAATTAGCGTTTAGAGAGTCTGCCCAAGTTGTTACGTCAAAATGGCTCCCTGCTTGGTGCAGCGGTTAAACGCACAGTGAGGTAACTCGAAGGCCCTGAATTCGAGTCTCTTTTGTCAGTTCAAGAATTTCCCCCTTTTACTCTCCCGTATTCATACATACATACAGAGTAACATACGTTGTAAATGGAAAGTTACGCTGCACAATAAAACGATACATTTTCGGCAGAGAAAGGTTCATGCCGATAACGCCTGATAACGAAAAAGTAGATAAATCCAGTAGTTAAATTCTTTAAAAAATTCCTTTAACAAGTAGTGTAGCCAGAATACCCGTTTTGTGGGTCCTTGATATCGAAAAACCAAGTGACAGCAGTCCGTCCGTCCGCTGTCTGTCCGTCCTCTGTAAACAACACTACCGTTTAAACCATGCATAGGAATTTTTCCAAATTGAAGAAACCCCTGTCCATTCGGCTCGAGTCGAAGCTTGGAGATTAAAAAAATTTGGGAGGGGGGTACTTTACATGAAGCCCCCAGACGTTCTCAAAATTTTCTCGAAAACGGCTTCAAATATTTTCTTAAAATTTCTTGTAAGATGAGAGTAAAATACACAGATAAATATGTCATATTTTCACTGTTAACTCTAAATTTTCGAAAATTGCAAAAGTTTGAATTTTTCGGTGTCTTCCTACAATTATAAAATTGAAGAAGATTGAAGAGATTTTTCTTTCAAAAAATATATTCTTCGTTGAGTGTTCTTTCATTAAGGTCATGCAATTTTTTTTTGAAAATTTTAGTCGTTTTCGCGCAATATTGCTAATTGCACTCATTAATATGACGTTCCTTTTGGGATACCTTTTTCCAATTTTTCAAAAATTACACAAACGCAATT